AATAAATCTTTGTCAATTTCCCAAAAAGATTTTAGTAAATCATTGTCTTCTTTAATATGCATACTTGTAATATTTATGTGATAGTTAGAGCATAGGGTTTTCCCAGACAGTATCCAACCAAGACTAGTCTTCTGAGCTACTAAACCACATTCAAGACGGATTAACCCATCTTCTATTATTTTTGCAAAATCACCAGCACCCAATAATAAATCAATTCGACTTGGCATAAAACAGGTAGGGTCAGCCAACTCAATATTTAGTAAATCACTTTTCTTAATAATTACTTTCTTCGCAGGTATTAATGATGAAATTGTTTTTAGAACATAGGCTTCAGTGTAAATATAAGTAGAATTTGTTTTAATAGATAGCTGGACTTTAGACTTAAGGCAATGCTTTTCTTCGCCAATACCCGAAACTGTGCCGTTGAGTTTATCTTTCTTTAAGTTTAGAAGCTCCACGACTCTGGATTTTACAAAAGTCGCTTCTGAACCCTGGTCAATAAGGGCACAAAGTGTATGATAGTCACCCGAGTTTGATTTTACATGAACTAGTGCAGTAGCCAATAAAACACCTTGACTCGATTGTTCTTCACTTGAATAATGTGATGCGACTTTAGTTTCAGTATCTTGTGACGTCAATGAAGTTGTGTTTATTAATGCAGGAGCTTCCTGTTTCTTTTCTAAATGCAGGAGAAAATTATGTTTTCTCCCACAAAACTTACAAGGAATGTGTCGCTTGCATTCAGAAACTTTGTGGTTTGGTTGCAAGCAGTTGAAACAGAGGTTTATTTATTTATTTATTTTATTTATTAGGCTTACGACATCACACACAATACTTAATCTACTAATTATTTTACAAAAACTTACATCTAAAATGTGTGACAATTAACGTAAACACAAGTTTCACAAACAAAAAATAGAAATTTAAAATTTAAAAAATGTAAAAAATACAATTAAAACATAATATACAAGGTGTTAAGGATTTTGTAGAACTCAGATGCCATATCATTAACATTATTATGAGCGCGTAGGCTATCATTCCAATCAATGGTTTTCAGATCCCCTATAATAGACTTTTCTCTAATAGTCAGCTTTTTAAAAACTTAGTTAAGTATTACCTCTCGTTCGCAAAAAAGATATTTTAGAATATTTAATACTTAACAATAAACTAGGATGATTCGCGTATATTTTACTTAACGAGTCGGAGGGGGCTGATACATTAATACTAGACATATTACTTAATACTAAATACAAGAAACGATCATCACTATTACCTATACTATTACATTGATTTGGGCTATTCATAGACATAAAATTAATAAAGGCAAAGCCAAGTGTATTGTTATAATTACAAGGTGTTATAAAAACTTCATTATTTAGCGATCTCCAATTAATGAACCCTAGATTGACATCATCACTTAAGATTAAAGCTCTGTCGACGCTGTCTAAAAAATGTGTCAAAGTCCCAATCTTAACAGGAGGAGGCAGGTATACTTCACATATCGAAAGTTTCTTTATTATTTTATTAATATTTATATGTAAGGTGACCCATAAGTCCTCCACATCCGATTCCCATGCCTCAACTCTGACAGAAGAAATTTCTTTGGAGACTCCCAGTATGACACCTCCACCATCCGATTTGGTATTGGTAGAACTTGAACGATCTCTACGATAAACAGTGTATCTATTGTCAAATAATTCCATGTTTGAAATACCAGATTTCAGCCAAGTTTCAGTTAGAGCGATGATCTTGTAATTAGAAGTTGACAAATATTTGAGAAAGCTTGCCGTTTTAGTTCTCAACCCCTGTACGTTTTGATAATAAATTTCAAGCATCGTAAAAAAAATCAGTGTGTTACTAGACTAAAGATACAACAAAAAGCTTACAATCTAATATACTATACTATGTTAAAAGATTTAAGGTTTCGTTATTCTTAATAAGCAAGGCTTGGCAGTTTTCGTTCTTTCTTGTAAAAACGCGTCCGTTGCGAACCCATACAAATTTATACTGCTTCTCTTTTGCTTTCAAGCGTGTGGCCGCGTAAAGAGCATTGTTAACTGATGTAAGATGTTCAGATACATAAATAGGTTTCTTAGTTCCTTCGATACCAAGATGATGAGAGTTTAATTTCTCTTGTGGATTCTTCCTATTAAATTTGCTCACAGCAGCCAGAACAAAGTCACGTGTACGCGGGCTACATAACTTGGCTACCACGGACCGAGGCCTATCACTGCTATTAGTTATTTTAGCAACCCTTGTTACGTGCTGAATATCAACTTGAGTGAGGGGACAGTCCACAGTCTTGGCTATACGAAGGACAGTTTCAAATAAATTTTCTGACCTATTCTCAGGGATCCCATTAATCAATATATTATTCTCCCGGGCATGTAGTTCAACAGAAGTTAGCCGGTTCGTTAGGTCAGCCACATTAGACTTTAACCTCTCATTATCTTTTTTTAGATTCACTATTGCGATGTCCTTCTCCTCAAGAGAAGACTTTATATCCTCAAATTGTCGACTCAGGAAGCAGATTGTGTCCTGGAACCCAACAACCCTTTCAGTGAGATTATTAAGTTCCGATGTCACCAATCGCTTTATTGTCACAGTGAGGACTGAAGATAACTCCTGTTGTAAGATATATCGCAATTTATCTTCAGTGACATATGGTTCTAGTTCTGGTAGTTGTGAAGGGGGTCCATGTGATGGCTTTATTCGCTGCGTTACTTTAGAGCACGGAGGTTCACTCTCCGGACTTGCTTCTTGTGAGCTCATACTATGGGGGCTTCCATCGGAATTTTCACAAGTCAGCAATGACGTCTTTGCATTGCTACCATTAGTCGGTTTCCTAGAGCATTCGGGACATCTAAATGACGCCTTTTGTCTTGCGACCATCTCAACAAAGCGCTTGCGGGAGACATTAGCACATTCTAGGTCGTATTTTAACTTGCAGATATGACAGCATAAAAAATCCTTTTTGGTAGCTCAATATGACAGCTAGCACAACAATTTGAAGGCGCCATAGCAACTTTTAATAAAAAATAAATAAAAACAAAAACAAGTGGGATGCCTGGATTGGAACCACGTCAGACACTATATAACGATATTATGGCAGCGCTCTGCAACACTGCGCCGAGCGGGCGGTCGATTAATCAGCCGAAATAATAGTATATATTCCAGTCCAATAGCTGAGTACAAAAGCACAACGCGCCACGTTGAACAAAAACTCGAACTTCACTGAATCTATGCATATGATTATTATAATTAATCAAAAAACTATCAAATGCAAAATAATGTTAATGTTATGATTCACTTGCGTATTTTTCCATTTAGCGTATTGTTGATGTTTTAAAACGGCCACTGCACCAGAGCGCTTGTTATTATGTTGAAAATTTGATTATCCCATTAACACAACAACTTGGAAAAGTCACACACTGCACTAATTTGCCTTGCTTAATTCATTTAAAACAACATTATAGCAATATAAGGGGAATTTCTATTTTTAATTGTATTTTTACACGGGAGCCGATGTGTACGGTACCCACTACCTCTAACGGGGTTATTAGGTTAGGTTATTCTTTAATGCAAAATTATGTCTATCTTCCACACTTTGCTTAATATAATCTTTGCAATTATTAATATAATGGTCTTTATTACACAAGGAGCATAACGGCTTAGTATTACCACATGTGTGGGTTTCTTTAGCTATGTAAAAACTCTTTTGTACTATTGGTCTTAGATCTTTTGAATAGCTTGTGTTGGTTGTGTTTACCAGCTCCAAAGTTCGATACTTGGACTCCAAAAAATTCTTCAGGTCTTCCCATGTAGGTAAGTAGTCGGAGTCGTTTTTGTATATGTGTTCTTCCCAAGTTTTATGAGTATCATGATATAATTTATTTATCACTATATGTATAATAATCGGACTCCAAGACTCGGTCGAAATTCCTAAGTTTTTTAAATTGTTTAAACACTCACTTGTTGTATCCAAAATTATTTTTATTTGATTTGCTGTTTGTGTGTTGACTTTACGAAGATTAAACAGTCTTTTTAATGTATAATTTATAATAATTCTCTTATTTCCGTACCGCTTCTCTAATATACTCCACGCCTGGTCGTAGTTATTTTCTGTTACACTTATATGTTTTAACAAGGAAGCTGCTTCGCCGGTAACACTTAACTTCAGGTAATGCAACTTTTGTACATTGGCAAGGGAATTATTATTGTGAACAAGGGTTAAAAATAAATCTTGAAAAGCTAAGAAATCTTCATAATTACCAGAAAATACGGGTAATTCGATTCGAGGCAGTTTTACACACGATGAATTTATGTCGGTGCTTAACCCCTGGTGATTACTGCAACTTTCTTGGCTACCAATTACATTCTTACTTAATAAATCCAACATATCGGCTTTAAAAGACAAATAAAACTCCTCGTATTTATAATATTCTTCGTTTAAAAAATAGGGTAATATTCCCTTTTGTGCCCTTGGGGTGCGTGGCGACAAATCTTCATGTGCTACATTAAATAGCCTCCAATAATCTTCAATACATTCCAGCAGCGCCCGAATATATCCTGTAGTTATTCTTGACTTTGGACTTTTCTTAAAATTTATTACGAACACATTTGTTGCTATTCTCATCATCAATAGAATCAGGAATAATTAAGAGAAACGAATAAAAACAACATTCGATATAATGTATAAAATCTTCTTACATTTATTAAAATCTTTTAATATTAAAATAAACATAAAATATAGCTTCGTTTTCTAAACGACAACACAACTCTGGACTTAAATATATCAATTTTAGCCGCCTCAGTGACGTCGGGAAATGTGTTTTTCTATAAAATCTGGGATTATTTATTTACAAGGGACAAATAAATACAAATCTATAGAATCTCGGTTAAAACCCGTCAGCGTTCGACATCTCCGACTCATTTTGAATATGTGAAACCGAAACGGGCTACGATACAACAAAACGCTGAAGAGAAGAAAAGAAAGACATATGGCACGTAGAGAGGAACTCCGACGTCGACGACACTCAGGCGAGGCTCAGGAAGTAGAAGGCCAGCAGCGCCAACAGGTACGAGGCGCCGCTCAACGCCGCCAGCGCCCGCGACGCCGCCCGCACCCCGCCACGGCTCGTCGCGCCCCCTTCGCCCTCTTCGCCGTCCGCCACCTCCGCCCTTTCCGCTCCCCCCGCCCGGGTCGCCTCCTCGGCTTCGATCGCCGCGCTCGTCTCGTACAAGGCGCTCGCCTCGTACGCGTCGCCTTCCGTCTCCGATTCCGACCCTTCGGCTTCCTCCCTCTCGGGCTCCGACTCGCCGCTCCGGGTCGACGGGACCTTCTCCTCGTCGTCGTCCAGCGCGAACTCCGGACGGGGCGCGCTCGGCACCGGTCGCGCTTCCGCCGGACGCGAAGGAGAACGGAGCCGCGGGCGTCGAGTCGGTCCCGGCGCCCGCGGCGGCGGCGCGTAGCCGCCGATTCGCCGGTAACTCGGATCCAAACGGCGGCATTCCGTCGCCGCCGACAGCCCGTCGACGTCGCGGCCGAACACCGGCGGCAAGTCGCGGCGGGGTCGACGCAGCGAGCCGTAGAAGGCCCGCGGCGAGGGGACCTCCGGCGGCGACGCGTCCGACAGCACGGCGAAAGCTCGCGGGATCCTTCGGGCGTATATCGACTCGAGCGGGACGTGATGCCGCCTCGGCCCGGGCGCGGCCCGCAAGGGCAGCCCGTACACGAAGTAGCGGTCACTGTAGACGACGGTCGCGAAGGCGCTCGTCGCCCTCGAGAAGCGAGCAGCCGACTTCGAGGCGGCGCGACGCCGACGAGCGACGAAGCGGCGCAGGGCCGTGGGCGGTCGGGGGCTCTCGTAGGGCTCCGAGTATAGGCGGGCAGGCGGCGGGGCGGAGCGTCAATCGGAGGGCAGGGGCCGCGCTCGCCTCGCGCCGGCGGCCTCGTGGAGGGCCTCGAGGACGCAGGCGGAGCTCCAGGCCTGAGTTCGACACGAGTCCCGGCAGGGGGCGCCGCCGGCGTCGGTCAGCTCGGGCAGACCCCGCCAAGGAGAGGCGCGCGACTCGGCCGCGTGCGGCCCGAGGGCTGCGTAAACGGCGGCGACCGTGCGGGCGTGGGCGCCGTTGTCGGGCGCGAAGATGAGTCGCGCCCGCAGGTAGGCGCCGATGGGCCACACCCACTCGGGACCCTGTAATCGGCGTCGATTAATACACCGTTTCACGAATCGAGAAGCGAAGGAGCCGGGGCGCTCCGCACCTGGTGGTAGTTGAAGCCGTGGGCCACGCTGGGGTCGTCGGAGTCGTCGTCGTTGCGGTAGTCGGGCCGGTAGGCCCAGTCGGCGGGATCCAGCGTCTTAACCCCGAGCGGGCCGAGAAGAAGACGCTCGACGGCGTCCAACGCGAGCCACGCGCGCTTCGGGTCGAACAGGTCGGGCGCCACCGCCATGGCCACCGGGAAGTTGCAGCGCAGCTGGTAGTCGGCCCAGGGCTGCGAGGCGCCGTGCGAGTCCTTGTAGATGCCCCGCCGGTGCACGAGGTCGGGGCGCGCGTCGGCCGCGGAGGGCGCCGCCGGGACCCAGAAGTGGCGCTCGAAGGAGCGGCGGATGCGTTCGGCCCACTGCGCGAAGGTCCAGGCCGTGAGCGCGCCGTCCCGGTGGCGTCGCGCCACGCCCGGGTAGGGATAGCGCGCGGCGCGGTGCTGCGTCGCCAGCCACGAGGCGGCGCCGTACGCGAGCGCCACCAGTTCGACGGCGCTGCCGTCGCGGGGCGTGGCGGGTCGACCGCGATTGCCGGCCCGCTCGGAGGAGCCCATCTTGTCCATCCAGGTCCCGCAGTTGGCGTCGTTGCCGCCGAACGGGAAACCGGTCTCCGGGTCGACGCCGATCTGCACGTTGAAACCCCTGTCGGTCATGTGCGCGTCAATTTGGCGGCCGGCGTTGCGCTCCCGGAACGCGAGACCCTGGAAGTGCGTGTCGAGCGCCTCCTGCATGACGTCGTGCAGCGGCTGCTCGACGGGCGCGTCCGGCGCCGGAAAGAGGCGGACGACGCGCTCGGCGAGAAGCGCGGAGCCCTGCGGCGCCTCGCGGCAGTACTGCTGGATGCTGTGAAGCCACCACCACACGGCGTCCCGGCAGTTGAAGCGCGCGTTGCGACCCCCGTCCAACAGGTTGGGGATGAGGCCGTGCCGCAGACAGGCGGCGAACGCCAGAATGTGCGCGCGCGCTTCGGCGAAGCGCCCCGTCAGCAGAAACAGGCCCCGCAGCGCGACGAAGGTGTCGCGTCCCCAGCAGCGCATGTAGCCCACCGAGAAATGGGGCAGTCCAGCCGACAGAGACGCGCGCTCGGCGGTGGAGGCGCCCTCCAGGGGCAGAGGGGCCGACGGCATCTGCGGGCAAACATAACTAAAGATGAGTTCCCGACGGCAAGACTGCAGTTTTACTAAAATGACTTTGATTATTGTTAGAGTGTTACTTCCAATCTTTTAATTTAACCAGAAAGATTACGATAGGATCCCAAGTTGTGGCTTTAATTTCTAAATTATTCAAAGTACTAATACATTCTGAAGTTGAATCCAAAATAGATTTTAATAATTTAAAAGATTTCTTTAATATTAGGTCCTTACATAAAATGAAATCGGCGTTTGTACTGGCCACTTAAACCTCAAATATCTCTTCTTTGGTTAGGAATTTCAAATTCTTTGATGATTTTTTCGAAAACCATCATTCATATCATTGTCATGTTTTAATTTTTGAAGTTATACTACTTTAGGCGCGTTATGAAAAATTGATGAGAGTGAAATTTTACGATGCGCGCGACACAAAATTAACAGAATGAAGTTGTCCACGGAAGAAGCTACGGCATTGGACATAATTTAAAAACAACATTCGAATAATAATAGAATTTATGTTACACTTAATGTAAGAGAATAATAATAAATATTTATTTATTTAATTTTTCAAATGTAAACTGAACTTTATTGACTATAATGACTCCTTTTCCAGTCTTTGATTATTTAATTGTAATTAATTATTTGCTTGCAATCAAAAACTATTTATAATAATGCCAAAGAAGTATAACTTCTTACGCGCGTACATAAGTACACGCACCCTTTTTATTTTAAATTGCGTCACTCTATTTCTAAAATGGAAAACATGAACTACTACTACACACTAATTAGGAAATACACAAACCTACCTACTCGAGGTATCGATAATTTCAATATTTTCGGAACCCTATAATCTATCAACACGAAATTAGGTTAATTTCAATGTTGATTATTCTATAAATTTCAAAAATGAGAAAATAATCGATAAATAAAAAAAACGATTCTTACGGAGTAAACTCCAAAAAAAAAAAAGGGTGCGTGTACTTATGTACGCGCGTAAGAAGTTATACTTCTTTGGCATTATTAAAAATAGTTTGGCTTTGTTCCACCTCCAGTTTTTGATGTTTCACAGCGATAAGATGACAACTCTTTTTTTGTATTCAATTTAGTGCACTTACACTGATTCATCAATTGTTTTTTGTCTCTTGTCCTTATATTTGCTAGAGAAAAATTACATGTTTTGATTAAACAATGTGGTAATTTTTTTAATCAAAACATTACTCGATGTTCGGAAAGTAACCGAACACCTTGTAAAATAGCATAAGTAGTAAGTACGTATAGTTAGATCGCCGCCTGCGCGCGACGCTTTTCTATATACATCAGTGTGTCATCAACCATCTCCGCGATCACTCATTAAATTAGTTTTTAAGAGCAAAGCAATCTTTTATTTAAATATCATTAAAGTGTTTTGGCAGCAGCCCGAACATCGTGCTTGTAACTACGCCTGAGGAGTATAGTACGATAGTCAGATAGATAGATAGAGTAGGAATGCACTGAGCGTTCTAGTACATACATTGACTTTCTCGGCATTTCGATTCCATTCCTGAAGTTCAGGTTAAAACCGTGTCTCTTTGAAGACGAGAAAGAGAGATACGGCTCGAGAGAGACGACCGAATGAATAGAAGCGGTGGAGGGGTCGTCTTACACTTTGGGCCCCCTCTACTTGAAGTTTCCCTCGGCCATATTAAGGAGGCGCTCGGACGCCTATGGTCTTTGTGAAGTCGGTAAAAAAGCACTTACCGCGGCGGTGAGTTGCACGCTCGTGAGCGCGAGATCTTCGGCGAAGCGACCGGGGTGCGGCAGCCGCAGACGCGACAGGGCCGCGGCTCGCACGGCCGAGTGCAGCGCGGCGACGACGGCTGCGAAGTAGGCCGGCACCAGGAAGCGCGGCAGCTCGCCCAGCGGCCGCAGCGCGTCCCGGTAGCGCGCCGCCACCGTCGCCAGCCGCGCGTCGCCCTCGAGGCGGCGCCACTGGTAGTCCGCCAGCCAGTCGCCGGCACGTAGGTTGTCGCACAGCGGGTGCCCGAGGTCGTCGTCTCGCAGCAGCGGCTCCAGCGCCGCCGTCGCGCCCTGCAGGCCGGCGTAGACCAGCGCCCCGTGCCCGGGCACCTCGTAAGCGCCGGCGCCGCGACGCTCCCTCTCCTCGGCGTCGCAGCAGTACAGCAGAGTGTTGAAATCGGCCAGCGAGAGCTCGGCGAGAGGCGCCGCGAGCCGCAGCGGGTCAGGCGCCGCGTCGGACGGGGCGCGCACCGTGCGATGCAGCGCGGCGAGGGCGGCCGCCTGCCGGCCGTCGGGCGCCACCCGGACGACGACCACCGCGCCGGGCGGCAGGCCGCGCCACTCCAGCTCCGTGAAGGCGCCCTCGCGGCGCTCCCCCGAGAGGAACGCCGACGCGGCCAGCGGCCCCGGAGGGCGCACGTCGGCGACGTAACCGTCGAGGCCGTCGACGAAGCGCGGATGGGGCTCGCGGGCCCCCGGGGGTTCGAAGGGGCGGCCGCTCGCGTGGCGCAGACTGGCCTCCAGCGCCACCTCGGTGAGCTGTCCCTCGAAGCGCAAGGGCCTCGGCCGGCGCGGGGCGGCGTCGGGGTCGGGGGCGGCGAAGGCCGTGTGGGCCACGAGGATGACGGACTTGCGCGACGCGGGTTGGTGGCGGGTCACGGCCACCACGTCGGGGTCCATTTGATCCACGAACACCTGTTCGACCGTTTCACTGACGTCATCTTCGACCGAACGCGAGCCTTCCTCTGGAACGCTCCGTTCGTTCGCGTGGCCGTACCTCGGTGTATCCTTCGGCGGCGAGTTGCCGATGCAGCGCGTTGAGCGCCGCGCGCGCCTCGGCCAGTCCCTGGCCGGGCCCCACGGTGCCCTCGGGGCCCTCGGGCCACTCGTCGGACTCTCCCCAGGCCCTGTACAGCCTCCCTTCGTCGACGACGTGCACCTGGTGGGGGACGAGTTCGTCGTAGCCGCGCGTGGAGCCCGTGGCGCAAGAGGCGAAGGCGACCAGCGCGGCGCACGGCAGCAGGTCGAATAGCGAGCGCTTGATCACGGGGCTCGGGTTGTCGTGCGTCTGGTCCAAGAGCATGGCGTGCGCCAAGCCCGGCGCGGCGGCGGCGGGCTCCCCGGGCGGCGGCGGCAGGAAGGCGCCGGCGGGGCGGCCGCCGTAGCGGTAGACGAGCCGGCCCAGCTCGTGCGCGTCCCAGGCGCTCTGCGCCTCGCGCACAAGAGACGTGATGCCGAGGCGGTTGACGAAGATGTTGTCGACGGAGGCCGAGTTGGTGAACAGCTCGGCGAGCACGTACAGGTCGGGGCGCTCGGCGCGCGCCTCGTCCACCATCCACTCGGCCACGTGCAGCGGGGTCGAGTGGCAGTTGTCGAGTCGCAGCCCGTCGAAGAGGCGCGCCGTGAGCCGCACGTACTCGCGCATGTGCGCCCACAGCCAGGCGCTGTCCTCGGGCCTCTCGCCGTAGCGCAGCTTGACGCTGTCTCCCCACG